CCCCAAAACCCCAAAACCCCAAAACCCCAAAATGGATAAATATAACGTAAGTGAATTATTTTAAAAGATGAGTGAAGAGCAAATTTCTCTGCAGTTTTTGACTAGTTCTAAAAGAATTGGATATTTTACACCTGGGTGAGGCAAAAACAGATTGATAGGAGCTGATATTAAGATCCTTGGGCTATCTTTTATGATGATTTTAACTCCATCTGTCTGGTTTATCTTTTGACAGCTTCCCTTGTATGAAGGATTCTATATTTGGTTATTTGTTGAAGTGATATTTATAACATCAATGCTGTTCGATCTTTTGACATTGGTTGATGTTGGAACCACAGATTCTGGAATTATCCCCAAAGCAACTTTAAAAGTTAACACAGACTATAATTATTATATTGAACCAAGAAATCCTGATGCCAATTTGATAAAGCTAAAAATATGCAAAACATGACACATACTGAGGCCCCCAAGAAGTTTTCATTGAAAGAAGTGAGGGACATGTATCGAGGTTCACGATCATCATTGCCCATTCACAGGAACATGAATTGGGAGAAGAAACCACAAAAAGTTCATAAGATTTTTGTTTGCTACATTTAGTCATGGTGTTGTAGCAGCTTGTTTAGGAATATATCCTCTCTGGTTGAAGTATAATAAGCCAATTACCAACCTTTATAAATTTACATCAGTTATTTTGATGGGGTATTCTCTTGTTATCATGACTCTCATGTTCTTCTTTGGAATGCTCCATATTTATCTGGCAGTAACAAACGTCACCACGAATGAAAAATTAAGAGGGAGTTATAAGAAAAAGACCAATCCTTGGGATCTTGGATTTCAAAGAAATTGGCACGAAAAATCAGTAGTAAACCCTGAAACTCCTTCTAGTATATTTGACAATCGTAGAGGCTTAATGGAAGATGAAGAACAGTTTTATCATTCAATCCTTTCTAGATATGGAACTTTGGTCTGACAAAAAATTGAAGACAATGAATCTACAGAAACAAACGACCAAGAGAATGAGTTCATTGAGTATAACAATCATGGCCAAATAAAGATGATGCAAAGTGAGGGGAAAATATCAATGCACTCCATTGATAATGCAGTATAATCACAAATTCATTCAATTTTGTTGATAAGACAAGGGGTTTTGGGGTTTTGGGGTTTTGGGGTTTTGGGGTTTTGGG